CTGGATTATCCAGGGGACTGATCTATTGTCTGCTTTAGTCTGTGGCTTCTGGATCTACAGCTAGAGCAGACTCATACATGAATAATTCTGCAGTCTTGCCAAAATTTTTAGAGGAGGAGATGTGCAATCTACCACTTTGTCTACTTTTGCAGTTGACCACCATCAGTTTCATATGTGGAGCTCAAAATCAACTCCTCTGCATTGCCACACTAGGTAACATCAAAGCTCCTTTCAGTCCAACATCTTGCCACTGAGGCTAAATATTAAGACACTTCAGTGAGATGAGAGAATCCTGTTACTAGTCTGAACATCAGTTATTTGGCTTATGTAGAGACATGAAGCCTTGCAAAGTGAACATTAACATCTCTTGGGGAGAAGAGAATGAGTACTGATTGCTCCGAGACTATCCAGAGATCCAGTCTTGAATCACAGCCATCTTCTGTGGCTGACTTTGGTAATAAGCTGAAAAGTATGTTGCCTAGACAGGTGCATCTCTTAGTGGTTTTGGATTTGCTATTTATTGGGTTTTATTGAGTGCAGCCTTGGCATTTGAGGTCCCATTGTGACTTAACTTTAGAAAGCTGAGTAACTGAATTTGTATGAAAACCTGTGACAGAATTACTTGTGTACTGACTGTTTTGACTGAAAGGAATTTCTTTGAAGATCCTTCAAAAAGAGATGGCTGAAGGTGACATTTTACCTCAGTTGAACCTTGGGCGTGGTCATGCTCCCACAGAATTGTTTTGAAATAGTGGTAGTAACAGCTGCATTTACTAGTTCGTTGATGGATTTAACCCTGTAAGATTATTGCTCTGTCAAGAAAGCTAAAATGCAAAGTGCATGGTGGAGTGGAGCAGGAGATGTGGCACTCTTTCAGACGAGAACCTTCAGGCCAGATGGCAAAAGTACAGTTGCATTCAGCTCCTCAAGCTCCATGTCAGATTTACTCTCCTATAAGCTCAGAGGATTCTTTATGCAAGTACCTTTTTTCCTATTTGTAAGGTAGAAATCATGAACTACCCTTATTAGGATACAGGAAAAGAATATGCAGAATTGCTTATGTCAATATCGATGATAGCAGATACTTGTTCTGTACATTTAGGATATCTGAAAACAACTTGTATAGGTTTGGGATATTCAATACTGTAGTTAAGAAATGAATTTTCCAACTGTATCAGGCAAAATGTGTTTGTTTTTCTAGTATGGTTGCTGTAGAAGAAGTAAATTACAAAAATTGGCTTGTCAGAGGAGACACTGACCTAGAAGCATAAGACTAGATTTATACTTGAACTTTATTTTTCTTGCATGTCTTTTCTACTCTTCTGATTTTCCTTGTGTGGTGTTTTTTGTTTAGGATTTTGTTCTGTTTTTAAGAATGACACTTAAATACATATTATCTTGTTAAAATAATGTTTATGTTTTATGTTGTAGGTACTTTTTGCTCTGTGTGAACTACTTCTTTTATGGAGAGACTGTAGCGGATTACTTCGCTACATTTGTTCAGAGAAGAGAACAGCTTCAATTCCTAATTCGTTACCACAGGTTTATATCTTTTGCACTCTATTTAACAGGTAAGTGTAGGAAATGTCAAAAATGAAATAAATTTATGCTGCATTTGTTTCTGTGCTTATTTATTTAAAAAAAAAAAAGCTCCCCAGCTTTATGCACTTTCAGTTTCTTTTTCCCCTTGATGTTTGAGGAAGTTAGGTGTTCGTAGTTCCATTTTTCCTGTGAAAAGCTGAATATAAATTTTGCATTCACTGAGAAGAAGAAGGCAGCTTAAACAAGTAGATGATCTTGTGAAATTGAGCTAATACTGCTTAAAAGAAGTTGGCGTGAATTAATTTCGATCACTGAAGAACTGGAGCTCAGTACCTGAATACATGAACGTTATTTTGGCAGTCTGTTGAGATGACTTGTATTTGTAATTGCTATGCTGGGTTGATGCTTTATTGTGCAAGTATTCTACTAGGTCTACAGCAATAAGATTTACCAATATATTTTAAACTGATTATTCAAAATGCCCGAGGCTTTATTTTGTCTGCAAGATATTCAGATTCTTGCCTCATGCATAGATTTTCCTCCCTATCCAAAGAAAGACTTTTAAAAAAACCTCTTGTCTAGGAAGAAGAGACATAAGCTGGCAGTCTTGGGGGGGGGAGGGGGGAGGTATTGCTTTGTGAACATGTAAATATAGTCCATGGTGTTTTCAGCAATGCAGTTAATATTACTTTAGCCTAAAATTAAATTTATTGAAGACTGAGATTGGCCTAAGCGACAGGAGGCTGCTATGCCACAGATACTTGTGAAATATATTAAGAAACCTGATCTTCACGATGAACTGTCAGTCTGCTGTTTTTTTTTTTTTTTTTTTAAACCAAATAACAATTTTAATCAGTGCTTAGATCGCAAACTAAAAAAGAAAGAAAAGAAAGAAAAGAAAGAAACCAGCTTTGCAAGACTTGACCTTTTTCAGCTGGCTTTGGATTGAGGAAACTAACTTAACTAATGCATCATGACCACTGAAGGGTGGTGAGGGCAGAGGTGGGACAAGCCACTCATAAGCAAAAGCAGGAGGCAGAGCATAGCAGAGTCGCTTGGCGGCTGTCGCATTGGGATTGTGGGGTCACTGAGGAGCTGTCCGCAGGGTTAAGGGTCTTTTGAGGGCCTCTGACCCTGCTGGCACGGGAAGTTGCCCTAAGGGAGAAGAGGTGCTCTGTTAGCCCCCCAGAATGTTTCTTTCAGTCAGCTGAATTCTCTGACACCTGCACCTCATGCTTGCATTGCGTGCAGCCGTATGCCTGTCTTGGGGAAAGGGGCAAGTTGGTCTTTGCCTGTCAATTATTTCTGTTAATTATTCAAACCTAGCTTGTCAACCTGATTTTTGAGTGGTTTTTAGAGGTGATGGTCTCCTTCCCTAAAAATTGATGTCAACAACGGGACCTACTAAGTAATGAAATAGATGCCCTTTACTGTTTACTGTGAACAAAACCTTGTGCTCTAATGAGAATAATTCCGTATATACACTTAACCAAATACAAGCAAATGCTTCTAGCAGTAGAAGGATTAAAAGCTGCTTCAAGGGAAGAGAATTAGTGGTATATCACAGTTCAGTGTAATTAAATATAAGATGGTACAAACTACACTTGCTTTGTTTTACAGGCTTCTGCATGTTTGTTTTGAGTTTAGTGAAGAAACATTATCGCCTGCAGTTTTACATGGTGTGTATTACCCACTTTGCTGTGGTCACTCACATTATGAATGTCACTAGAAACAGTCATGTCCCTATGTTCATAAAATAGCTTGGAAGAGGGGTGTGGAAAATGTGCATGAAAATCAGTAGCACGAAATCAAGTGGTGTTGGGCTGTTTGGTATCTGTTCACCTTGCAGGTTATTATTATATCACGGGATGTGGCCTTTCAGTCAGTACAAGCTGTCATTGGTGAGGCTTTCTGCATATGCAATGTGATACGTTTCCTCTAGGGATAGGTTGATATGAAAGAGATTCCTGGAGAAAGGGGTGTGCATCTCCCTCGCAGGTCTGAAGGCAAATAGTTCAGCATAGCATCGGAAGTGGTTCTTGTGACTCAAGTGTTACTTTGTAGAGGCCTCACTGAAGTACTATGAAGGGAACTTGTTCTTAACCCCTTTATGGAAGATTTATTCTTTGACACTTAACAGCAGCTCTAGTCTTCTGCTCTGCTGTGCCTCAATAGATCATTAATCTATTAAAAGAAACCAGTGTTCTCGTCTCTCGTATTTGTACACCTAATAAACAGCATAGTAGCTAATCAAGAGCATGAATCCTTTTCTTGTATGTATCTTATAGGTCAAAAACTAATTTTGTAACATCACAGGTAAAAGAAAAAAAAAAAACCACAAAAAAAACAACACAAAATCAGACCAATCCAAACCCCAAAAAACCCACTGACCCCCCCCCACTTATATATAGGAAGGAGTAGAAGCAACAGTAAAACAGTAATGTAGTACAGCTCCTGTCTTTAAAGAACTTGAGCAGTCAGGGCATTGCGCAACCTTAAAGATTTCCTAAAGCTCCAGGGATGCAGTTAACCCCTCTGTTTCTACAGTGCTTTAGGTAGCACTTTACCATTGAGGATCCCTAACTCTAGGCTAAGACTTAGCTGAGCCCTGTATGAGCATGTAAAAAAGTCTTTTACTCAAAAAAAAATGTACCCTGTATGTGGGAGAACTTGCCTCAGAGGGAGATGCAGCTTTTCTAGGAGAGGTGGTCATTATCTTCTAATCTGCAAAAAAAGTCCTCATCTTCAGATTGGCACAAGGTAAACATATACATTTTCCATGATTTATTTTCCTCTTCCCCCTTCTGGAAAGAAGGCAGAAAAAATGTGGTGTCAGTCATATGACTTGGTACCTGCCCAGAAAACATTAAGGTGTGACTACCTAAGAACTGCAGTAAAACAGAGGGAAGTCGTGTATCTGCTGTGTGGCAACACAGTGTTTGAACAGACAAGGAAAGTGGCCATTTGGTTTTAGGTGGTGTTCCAATATCACTGTACAAATACTAAAAATTTTGCTGCAGAGAGGCTTTAATTAACCTGCAGATAATAATTTCACAGACTTTTAGTTAGTTCTTGAACCTCCCCTTTTCAGCCTTCAGTGAAGGCTTCAGTTTTAACTGGAGGTAGATGTTGACTGCCATAGGAAAACACACGTGACAAGAGAATTAAAAAAGTAGGATGTTCCGAGTGTTAAATCGCCCAGACATTTAGAGTGCTTAAATTTGGTGTTTCTTGGGAAAACTATCAGTTCTTGATTTAAAAGTTTTTGGAAAATAAAATCTATTGTAGAATCTTTAAAGGTAAACTATTCAGAAACCACTTCATTGTACACTGGCGCTACAGAATAAACACCAAGTACATACAGTAATACTGAAGAAAATGACTGTTTAAATGACCATGTGCATAAAAATTAACACTTTGGTTTTGCTAATCCTGAGAACTTTCATGTTTCATAAGAGGACTGGTATTCTGTTATGGGAGATATCCACATCTGTGTAACGTGACTCTTTCATGAGTAGTTCATTGCCATTTTATTGTTACAGTTCTAACATGTCTGTTATATGTATATACAGAATATCACATTGCTTACATTTCTTTGCTGCTTTCACACTGAAGGTGTATGTCTTATTAAATCGGATGTTAAACTGCACTTAAAAAAATTCTGGGTGGAGGTAAGTGGTGGGGAAACCTGTTAAAGTTTCAGTACTTGCTTCAGAAAGCCAGCTAACTTGTGATATACTGTATGCACACATCTCTTGCATTATCACTAGAACTGGTCTTTCCTGTGAGCTCCTAGGTAGCTCCTCTAGCTGACACGCCAGTATTTATCAAGGTGTACAGATTGGTGTTTTCACTAACTGTTGTGTTGTTGCATTGTTAACAGTTCGCATGGACTCATGTCACTTTGCTGATCACTGTAACTCAATCTCATCTTGTCATCCAAAATCTCTTTGAAGGCATGATCTGGTAAGGGGACAGTAACAAACTGATTTGTAACTCTATTGCATTGAAAGGTTGGCTATTTTACATAGATCTGGTTAGGGAATAATTGTGGGAACAGTTAAAGCAGCACAAATTAAAGGAGCATTAATGTCTCGTTGGATGGGGAGTCAGAGGAATTGGGAGCAATGAGGTAAAGGATACAGGAGAGGAAGCGGAAACCTCTTTAACTAGACCGGCAGCCACAAGTATGGTAGTTTTGAACGGCCACTTCATTTACTTGCAAGGAACAGGATTGCTTGCGTGCTCGGTGAACTAGTTTCCATAGCATTTTGCTGAATGGATGAATATTCAGCAATTCTTTTTCAATTAGTTGGGAGCTTCAGGTTTCTCAGAGCTATTGAAGTTGGACCATTTAATTTGAAATCCCCAATCTGGCTGCCTTCCCTGTTCAGATAAATTCAGATTACTTAAAATATTTTAAGAGTTTAAATCTTGGATATTGTTGGGTCATCCTAATGCTGCATTTCCAGCAATATATTAATTTCTGATGATGCAGTTAAACTTGATTACTGAAAACCACTCTTCAAAGAGTGGGTGTGTTTTCCCGCCCCCCGCTTTTTTAGCAACAGGGTAAATTACAAGTTGAGAAAGAAGGAAAAAGCACATGCAAGACTATTTGTGTTCTTCCAAGGGTGTAATACTGCATGTTCTCCTTTTTCTTTTCCTGATATATGTACAACTGGAGAGATTATTGCAGTGCTCAATAGTTAGAAAGAAAACCCAAAGCCTTCGACAAAGTTTGTACAAACAGATTCTTTTCATAGTGATTGTGTTCATGTGCCAAAACCTGAACCTAGTTGCCTTGCTAGCCTGCTATTTCTTATTTCCACTGGTGCTAGGCAATTTGGCAGATGGCACAAAATCTGAGTTTTAGCTTATTAATTCATCCCTGCTTTGAACAGGGGGCAAAGAAAAGGTTAACAGGCTTGAATAACAAATTCAGATGCTGTCTGCATGCGCAGAACAATTAGAAAGCTAACACAGGCTTCTCCAAACTGACAGAAGGAAAAAAAAAAACTTTTTTATTTTTTAAATTTAGGTATCATTAAACTCTACAAGGAATTTGCTTGCTTTGATGTTACCAATAACATTAACGTGTTTATATCTGTTGATTTCTTCTTAACTGTGGTACCAGTCTTCCAGCCTGATAGGAAAAAGCCAGCCTGTTCACTTTTTAAACTCATGCACCAAAATCATATTTTAACTTGAACTAACATGGATCTGTAATGGTCTTGATTGGCTGAAGACTAAAACCAGTATAGCTAAATATGCTGCTCATGGGGGAACTAGGTGAATACGTTATGAAACATAATTTCTTCTAAATACTATAGAAAAACTTCCCAGAAAGAAATGCTGCTGTTTCAATTTTTGTCCTGTGTTTAGGTTTGGGCAGCTTTTCTTTTTCTCCATGACACTTTTTATGTCTGTCTCTAGGTTTCTGGTTCCAATTTCCAGTGTTATCTGCAATGATATTACTGCTTACATTTTTGGATTCTTCTTTGGCAGAACTCCATTAATTAAGGTAGGTACTGAGGTACTCCTCACTAACAAGGTTTAAGAATTTATAGCATTTTTGATAGTGGTTCAAAAACACGTTCATGGAAACAATACTTTCTGCTGTACTGCACGATACACATCTTTGCTAAAAAAACAAATTGACTATCCTGTTCCTGAAGATTTGTGAGTGGAAACTGGGATTAATGTGAATGTAATATTGACATTACAGTATAATACAGTTTGAGGCTATTGCATCATTATTTATAATTGCTTCCTTTTGGGATTTCATATGCAGGTTTAACTGCATCCTTACTGTACAGAAACTGTAATTTGAAGTAAGCTGCTAGATATATATACCTCTTCCACATCTGGTCTTGTTGACGTAGCACTGAGAAGGGCTCAAGTAGTAATCTTCCTATTCTGGTAGAATATGCAACACCCCACAGAAAGCCATGAATTATTATTTTCGTGATGTTGCCATGTTAACTTTTAGGTATTTAGTTGGTTCTGATATTAAACTGCTCCTAAATTGAAAAGATGATAGAATTTGATGAAGAAAATAGCTTTCTACACTGATCTCTCTAGGCCTGCTGTTATTTGCTGTATTAGTTTGCCAGTCTATGTAGGAAGCTAGTGTCTCTCCAGGAGCGTCTCCAGCAGGAGTTGTCTAACACCCAGGCTTCTGTCACTATCTAAATGTGCACTTGCTAGCGGAGGTCTCCAACACAGCCATAGCATGCTCATGCAGGTTTCCCAGTCTTCTGCTTGAATGAGCTCAGCTGCTTAATCAGGGTGAGCCATGGCCAGAGGCAGGCAGCAGCAGATGGGAAGGGACCCCTCTGTTCCCTCAAACTGCCCAGTGGCACCGACCAAGCTGTGGCACTTTCTCTCCTTGCCTGGGACAGGTCCTTAGCCATACTCCTCTCTTTATCATGTTCAGTGGCTGCAGCTGCTGACATTCAGTATTTCACACACACCTTTGAAAAACCAAGTAGGAGCTTAATTTTCACAAACAGAGTCCAGAAATAGAGTAAAAAAGGGCTCAGTGATACAACTGATGAGGCTAATACTATCTCTTTTGTGCCTAGCTGTCTCCCAAGAAGACCTGGGAAGGGTTCATTGGAGGCTTCTTTTCCACAGTTGTATTTGGATTTATTGTAAGTAGTCGCAGGACTTTCCTTGTATAGGTTCAGTCTTCAACTTTCTGGTTTTACTTGAAGTAAAATTACTGACAAATTTGATAATCTCAAAATGCTGAAAGCCTAAGAGTTAGGGTTGGTTTTTTTTTCGGCTAGAGAGTTCTGCCAATTCGTAACTAGCTGGAAAGGCTGGGCAAGGCTTGCACCTCTCCTGAATAAGTTATACTGGGCATTTTTGCCAATGTTTTGTTACTATACTTGGAATTGTTTTATGTATTAGTTGCATCCCTATCTTGAAATTGAAGTTTATTGATCGCATTAGTTGTGCTTTGTATAATAGTACTTTTGTATTACATACTTTATGACATTTCTCCTGAGAAGTAGTTTACACTAATATACATATAAGATAATAAGAGCATACAGTAACTATTCTGATAAGTAATTTATCACCAAGGTCAGCAGAACGCATAACTGCCAAACTTGGTAGAAGCGACAGTTCAAGTTTTAATGGAGAAATGAACCGGAAAAAATGATGAGTGGCTAACGTTCTGGGGTTTTATAATGCAGACACGTCCAATAGGTATGAATCTGAGAGAGATGAAAAGGAAAACAAGCTGGGAAATCATCACTAAGCACACCGAGCATTTGTCTGCCTTATTGAGGTGTTCTCCAACTTAAACAGGCTGATTTTAGTCCATTCTGGGTCTCTCTGTTATTAAAAATATTTTCATTATCCTCAGCTTGTGATGACAAAGCTATCCATTACAGTATGATTTTTTGACTGTAACCACAAATTCCTATTTCAGGAGTCTTCATTTTGCTTTTCAGTTCTCCTATTTTTTGGCTCAGCATCAGTACTTTGTCTGCCCCGTGGAATATAACAGTGAAACCAACAGATTTGTGACAGAGTGTGAACCTTCAGAGCTCTTTCAGATGAAGAAGTACTCTGTGCCACCATTGCTTCAGGCTGTGTTGGGATGGGTAAGGAAAAAAACCAAGGCTTTGGTTAAAATTCAAATTGTACTTTCCAGCTTGAATGGTTTTCTAAACCTTTTTAGAGAGGTATATGAACGCTGGTAATGCTTGAAGGACAAGAACTGAACCGATACTACAAGCCTGTCTGTTGCTCAGATGGAGGAGATTGTTTAAGCAGAATTATTATGCATTGCCGGAGTCACTCAAGGACACCTGCCTGTATTCTTGTGGCCCGTATCTTCTTTGTGCTGGAAATGGATGTCACTTAAGCATTTTGCAGACAGAACCATTTTTGAAGAGCAACCTTTAAATTTTTATGGAAAGGGGACAAAGCCTTGTTATGGCCCAAATTAGTAGCAAGCTTAGGTAATCTTGTAGAACTTCATTGCATTTTCAACTAGTGTGTAACTGCTGTTAGGATTGGACTTGTACTTTCTTCGCCACGTAGCATCGTGTGCGTTAGTGCCATTACTTCTGTGCTGAGTGAAAAAGGAGTACCAGTAATAGTTCCATGTAATGTAGTCACCGGCCGTTTTCCTCACACCCAGCCTGCAAATTCTTTTAAGTGCGCTGTCAAGAAATAGGTCCTTAATTATCCTACTATACAAAGCAGTGCTTCTGAAGTCACAGGCTCCAGAGGCACTCCAACAGGAAGAGAATACCAAACAGAAACAAAGCAGTCTGTCATTATCTTTCCTTTAGGGCAAAGAGGAGGTGACTGGGATAAAGGCAGAAGGAGTGGGTTCCGCAGCACTCCCCTTGCCCGTGCGGTGGCTCAGCACAGAGAGTGAGCGCACAGCACTCAGGAAGGCAGTGGGCTTTGCCTATGGTTACATGGATGGAACACTGAAGGAGAGAAAAATTGACAAGGTTACAAGAAGAAAGCACAGACTAGAAACTGTAGCAACCAAACCCAAGAATAAAAGTAATTAATGGCTACAGTTGGTCCTTAGAAAAGCTATTGTACATCTAGAAGGAGCTCCGATATTTTCATACTAAATGAAAATACCATTGCTTCAGGGACTGTGGGCTTGATTGCAAATTTAATACGGATTTTTCTGCACAAAATCATAATGTGGACTGAGCCCAGAGAAATCTTACTGTGTCCAGCTATATTGTGTGTTTTGTTAAAGGGCAAGGAGCTGGACAATGCCCAGCTCTGTCCCAGTCTACTAGAGAGCTATCAGTTAACCCTAAAAAGAGAGGGTAGTTCCATGTGCCCTTCAGGAATACTTTTGCCAGGCTTTAACAAGCCTTTTGAGGAGAGAATTAGTTTTAGCACTCTTTATAGAAAGTCCAGTTGAATCTTCTTGTTTGGGCAACAGCCTGGTTTTGGTTTTCCCACTGTTACTCAATTCCTGATGTTCTCTCTGAGAAATATGACCAGATGTTATGTTCGGAAGACGTTTTGTTTGGTGTCAAAAGATGTTGAGCTTTGTGGTCTCCCAACAAAATTGACTTAATTCCAACTCATAAACTTTGCTGTTTGACCAATTGAATAGTTTAGCCTAAAAGAAAGGTGTCTTAACTGCACAAAGTAGTCAAGAAGTTAATTGGTGTTGGCCGCCTGTGATGCAAATCAGAAACACAAAGTAACAGGATTTTTCAGCTACAGATGGTGTTTATCAAGACTTGCCAAGTGAGGTGTGCTCTGCTTTCAGGGATGAGGCCAGCATAGAGTTCCCTCAAAGGCTGGAACTTGTACTTGAAAGTGCTCAAAGCTAAGTTAAAAAAAAAAAAACAACAAACAACCAAACACAAACCACAACCCCAAAACCCCGAAAACCCAAACAAACCAAAAAACCCTAATAAAAAAAAAAAAAAACAACAAACCAACAAACTCAAAACACCCCAACCAACCAAAAAAAAACCCTTCTTTCTAATCTGTGTCAGGAAGGAAAACAGGTACCCATTGCCAATGAAGTCTTTCTCATCTGTAAGAACCTGAACAGATCAAAACAAGTTTCAAGTCTGTGAACAGGCTGAGAAGAACAATACCTGTTTAAATGCAAACTCAAAAGTATTATTGGGGGTAAACCTATCTCCCATTATTGCCGTATGTACACAAAGGTGACTGTATGGCAGACTAGTGCAAAATTCATATCTATCTTGTGAGAGCACTTGAAAGAAGTGACAGAATTGCATGAAGGTGACAAGTTTGTGGAAAGCATTGGGCCACTTATTAGAGCAATACTAGGAATTTGTGGAGAGCTCCTTCGTTTACAGGAAATGCAGCTGGAAAAGCGCAGCCAGGGAAGACTAGACAGTCCCATCATTCGTTATGGAATTAGTAGTTATATTCATTATAATCAACTAAGTGAGTAGCTGAAAACCACATACTTTGTTAAAGTTAACTGCTCTAGCAACCCCAAATACTTCATCCTGTTCACATGACCAGACCTTTCAGCAGTTTCTACAGTGCGTCTACTTTTCCTTTCTTTACAGTATTACTTTGTGTAAGAAAACTGGAGCTTTGTGGAAATTTGCTCTGTTACAGCCCTGTTTTAAAATATTTAAGCTTAAAATGCCTACAATCAAATACATTGAAATATTTTTTCTTGTAGGAAATGGTGAATATGTACCCATTTCAGATGCACAGCATTGCACTGTCAACATTTGCCTCATTAATTGGGCCATTTGGAGGATTCTTTGCCAGTGGATTTAAAAGAGCTTTCAAAATCAAGGTGAGCAATGAGTCCTGTAAGCCAGTTTTGGTTTTTCCAGTTTTGGATTTTCTCTTTAAATTAGATAAATTGGTGAATTGGTGGGCTGGGTTTGTTTTGGGCTTTTGTTTGTTTGTTTGTTTTTTTTTTTTAAATTGTTCATTGTGGTATTTAGTGTTTTTACTAAGGTGCAATGATGTTTGAGCTGTTTTTAGCATCAGCAGCAGTACGTAGTTTTATCAGATATATGTGTGTGCTGTTCTTAAAACTTTGCATAATCAACATGTGACTTTAAATGTTGGAAATCTAAAAATAATTTCGTTGCATATTTTGGTCGCTAATTACTCTTCCAAGTCGTGTTGCAGAAGTGATTTAGACAGGCAAGGTGTGAGATATTTCACTTGATGTGAAAGGCAATTTGTAGATGCTTAAGAAGCACCAAGAGCGTTTTACCCTTCAGGTTGTGGCTGGCTGTGTTTTACCAATAGTATTTGTGTCGTACGCAGACGCTGACGTGTCAGGTTCACCAAAGCATGGGATGTTTGGCTGCCTTTGCCAATACAGTGCCGTCTTGTAACAAGAGTGTGTATTGGCAAATGTTGTGACGTGCTAACCTCTGTTTATTGCAAGGTGTGCGCTGTCGCTTGTGGCAGTGTTGTCCCTGGCTGGTATTAAGTGGCAGCAGGAGTATGGGAAGAGGGCAGCCCCAAATTTTCTCCCGACCTTCTTTATGTCTTGGTAGGACTGCTGTAATTCTTATCCTGTTGCTTGTTGTTGTTCTTGTTATTGTTCCCTATGTCCACCGGTTTTGGCATGTGCTTTGCACAGAAGCATATAAACCTCTCTGTTTGTGCTGAACTCCCATACACGTGCTTGTACTTACCCCTCTTTCTTATGCCAATCCGAGCAGCTTGCCCAGCACTTTGCTAGCTACAGCCTCATGCGCTGTCATATCTGTACATCCAGCTAGAAAAAGACTGTGTGAAGAAAGGCTTTTTTGGGGAAAAAAATGCTTTTGAAAAGCAGCACTTTAAGAATAAGTACAGCATTAAAAAATAGATATTTTTTTTTTTAAATACTTCAGGGTCCCAAGGCGGTGACCAAAGGACTGTCGGGAAGACAGGGATATTGTGGAATTGTTACTGAAGGCAGCGCGTAGGTTAGGTTGGACACTCTGTGCCTGCCCAGCACTGGAGGGCTGAAGTGGCACCAGCACAGGACTGGTTTAACTTGCTGGCAGTCGCCCCCCATGAGTAAGGTCAGGGTTTTCACCCAGTGAGTACACAAATGAGTGTGGATGACTAAAAGGATACATGAGGGTAGTTTGACTTATAAAGCTGTTCTACAGACAAGGCTGGGTAACACAAAGGTAGCGTATCAAGCTTTGTTTGAATCGGAAATTATTTTTTTTAAGTAGTGATAATTTTTTCACTACAAGGTTTTTAGATTCTGCTAAATATATTTATATTGTATGCACACATTATGGTTTTTAACTATGGGTTACCAAGAACCCAGTGAAAAAAATGGCAGGTGAATGGGCAGTACGACTAGCAAAGCCAGTGTTAGACAGTGGAAAGAGTCCTCGGGTCACTGCTTCTCTTGTAGCAAAAACATATTCCCTGGTAACAAGTGCTTCAGCAGCAGCTACCTGTAGAGGATAAAGCAATAAAAGTGTTGAAGAGGAGAATTAGATTCTGCAGAGTCAAGAAATGGCCATTAGCTTAAGAGGCTTGCTACAAAATGATGTATGTATGGGCACGCAAGTGTATTCAGCACTGGCCAACCTGCACCTGACCTACTGCCGTCCTCTTGTGTGATACTGTGGACAAATTGCTTCATCTCTTCTTTTTCTTCTCACCCCTTGACTCACCTTTGCAGTTACAAACTCCTTTAGCAAAGGAGGCTTTTGCTAACTTTTGGCTCCATGCAGTGAAACTGTAGCTTAATTGCGGCCTTAATGTGCTGCTGTCAAGTGATACATCGTTAGTGTGTTTCATAGGAATCGCTGACCCTGATTTTTTTATTTTTTTTCTTCCCCTGTCCTTCTTTTTCCCCTGTCCTTCACACCCAAAAGGATTTTGCAGACACGATCCCTGGGCATGGTGGGATAATGGATCGCTTTGATTGTCAGTACTTGATGGCCACTTTTGTTCATGTCTATATCACCAGTTTCATAAGGTACGGGCTTTTTACATTATTAAATACTTAAGCTTGGATAGGGGCTGTACCATAGTTACTTCATATGAGTTATGTTCTGCACTGTTAGCATAGTGGAGATTGCAGGTTTCTACATCTGACTTATGCAACGATTTCAAATACGGAACTATTAAGAAAACATATGGATTTGTGTCAGGTTCAAGCTATGCCTTAATGTTTCTGTGACTGCTGTTAAAGGTAACCTGTGTATCCTAAGTACCAGAAAGTTTTGTGTAGCAGCCTGTTAGAAGTTTTACTTGAGTTTACTGGTTACAGAGAGGTATGAGGATGGGGTTTTGAGCAGGAGGGTTGCTGCAACATCTGCTTTCCCTGTGTGGTTTCTGAAGAGCCTGTAGGCTGTGAGACTGCAGTTCTTCCCGTGAGTTTTGGTATTTCTCAGTCACTTGACTTGGGATTTTCTGTTTAAGATGAAAACGCTATGGTTAAAGAGAGGAGACAACTTCTTAAAAATACTGCTCATCTTCCCTGAACCACACCAGCTTCCCAGAAGAAATCATGGGAATGACAATTCTCTTACAGTCAGTCATTTTAGTTGCTGGTGCAGGAGGGATCAAGGGGGTGTAGGTGTCCAAACTGATACATGCTCTTAGTTTTGTAAATGGATATGGCTAAATAATTATTAGATACCTAATCAGCAACAGATTCTTTGTTTCGTATTCGATCCATCTTAGAAGTAGACTGTAAATAAGTGACTACCTAAAAATGAGTCTGTTATTTAGAAAAGCTTGGTTTAATTTGTGGTTTTCTTTATCAACCTGGCCAACTTTCCATTTAGTTCAATAGTACGCATCTTATCTGGCAACAGATACTAAACTAAGAAAGCTTCGTTGATGAAAAACGTTGATTACAGTGATTAAGGATGAATCAGTGAATCTTATTTGTCATAAGACTTCTTAATATCCCCACTTGACAGAAAATACAAGAAATGCTTTTTAGTTTCTGGTCAGATTGAGCTAAGGAGAATGCTTTGCCAGTAATGCTCTCCCATGCATCCTGAGGAGATGGACTGGGAGAAATCCATAACTTGGTATCCCCAAAAAAGGGATGGCATCATTTGTGCAGCAAGAGGAAAATGGAAAGCTGTCAAAAAGTTTCTTTAGAGCTGCTGCTCACAAAAAAGAAAAAAATGTTCTTTTTTTCATTGACAGGGGTCCAAATCCCAGCAAATTACTGAAACAGCTGTTGATACTTCAGCCTGAGCAACAACTAAGCGTGTATAAGACCCTGAAATCTCACCTGGTCGAAAAAGGGATCCTGCAGCCATCTCTGAGAGGGTAGTTTGTAAAAACAGAGGACTAGAAGAAACTTCCATTTACAAGAAGCTTGTGGAAAAGCGTTGCAAATGTGCACATAGATAACTGACAGAAGAGTAGTCTGTGGTCTGGAAGAGGTGAATGTTTCCTTAAATGAATGTGAATGCGATGACTTCCTATTTGGACACAGAAGACCTCTTACTCCTAACATAATTAAAATGCTTGCAAAATAACAGTACACATGCTGTATATTTTAGTTCCTGAAGTGGACGGCAGCAGTCTTCCTTCAGCACCCAGCCTGACAGGCTTTGTACCTAATTAAACAAAAAAAAAAAATTAAAAATTCACTGTTAGTTTTTAAAGAGTTATTTAATATGGCAAATCTTAGCAATATGTTTTTGGTCTCCAGTGGCTACTGAAGCAATAAACAGGTGAGGCAGGTTGTCACTTTTCTGTAGCCCAGTGCTGAAATGCCAGCAAATACTTGTTAGCCCGGTCAAAGAGGTACTTACAGCCTGCTGTATCAGACTACCTGTATTTACTATGAAGGTTAAACTTAGCTCTGTTTTTAATTAAACAGCTTTCTTATGAAACTATTTTATGCTTTCAAGAGAAAAGTACCTTTACTGAAGTGTAGCTGGGCTGTTTGGGCTGTGGAGCTGCTATTTTTTTGGTTAACATTATGGATTATAAACAAGCATCTACATCCAAGAGTAGAGATTACCTGAGAAAATGGGATTCTCCAACCCAGTAAACAGATTGAGGAGAATCTGGAGTTTAAGCCCTTGCTTTCCACGTGTCTGAAGACAGTAATTCAAGCCTTATTCCTTGTGCCTCTTAACTACTGTGTAGAATGGGGGTATTTCCTTCTTTTTAAAAGCACTTTGAGGTCCAGAGTAAAAAGTGAAGTTTAAGTGCTGTTTTATTACTGTGTTACTCAGTGAAGGCAGCAACTTTTATCTCATGAATGTCCACAGTGCAAGCCAGGATGCACGGTTCTTCTGCTGTGTGTTATTATTTATTAAGAAGATCCTCAAGCAAGCTTGGATAATTGCATAGGTGTTTGAATGGAGAATTTTTGTAGAAAGCAGCTATTCTGTAGACTTAATGGAGCATATGAGGAAAGCTGATGCTCTGTAATTCTCACTCCTAGCTGTTTTCTAACTGTTTTCATCATGTGACATGTCTTGATGCAAATAAAAATATAAACTTTTTTTGAAATGACAAAAATGGCTCCTGTACAAACAGAAAGCACAAATACCAATTTTGTTTTGGTATACTGTAACTTGATACAATTTAATTTTTCCAACTAATTGTAAATAAGTTTCTCCTGCGGTGAACATACCGATGCCACATGAGTGTGTGTATGTATATAGAGAGAAAATATTAAAAGGTGTATGTACATATATAAAAGGTGAAAATTTCAAATGGTTGTTGCTACTTGAGGATAAAACCATGGAGAAAATCACTAGGGTGGGTGATAAGCTTTATCTGTGAAATTCAGACTGCTTTTTGTTTAACACCACTCAGCTGAGACCATCGTGCACTCTGTTTTGCACTTAGGCCACGGTAGCGTGCGTACAGCTCGTGGACGGAAGAGCACCCCTGTTACATGGCTATGAAACCAAATCCAGGTCTAAAGTAATTCCTGTTGATGTCAGGTGTTTGACAGAATGAAATTATGTCTGACCTGGAGATTGCAGTACTGTATTGAAGGAACACTGCAAGAGGTGAAAAATGTCGCCAGCTGCTTGTCCATCAGTGGCCATGTGACTTGGCTTATTAATTGGAGGGCACTGAATTTCAGCCCTTCCACTGGAAGGGCAGCATAGCCTGAGGTCAAAAGGTAGCACAGCCACCGAGTGGGATGTGGAAAGGTGCTTCAAAAAGAAGGGAAGGCAAAATGAGAGGACGACCGAAGTAGCATACCTGGAAAACTAACTTCTAGATGAGGCTTTGGTTATGTATGGGACCTTGGTAGATGCTTATGAAAAAACACAGCCGTACTGGAGTTGGTATATCTTTATTCTGGCTATTAAAAAAAAAAAAATTAAAAATTGTATATATATAATATATATATAGAAAGGTAATTGTTACTTCAGAAACTTGAACTTTTTAGGGTAATTTTATAGCATGTATAATAAGGAAGTTAAAATATATTTTAGCATTTAATACAACAGAGCATTTGAAATTAATTGCTATCTATTTGCACAGTAGAAAGTTCAACAGTGAGATTCTGCTGTTCAATGTTAAAATGAAGAAGGGATCACTTGTGAACTCACTCATCAATTTTCTGGATAGAGTAATAGCTTAGGCTCAGGCTTGGTGTAAATAAAGCTCAGCAGGACCTGTCACTTAGAAGTGACAACTACGCTTGCTTTCTATGAAGTGCATTTACCCCACTTGTTACTTCTGTTAGTTCAAGCGTTGCAACATGATCAACAGGAAAGTTTAACTTTTTACACCAGTGATTCTTTTCACTTGCACTTTTGTTCCAAGTTGCTACAATTACTCCTTGAGCAAAAAAAAAAAAAAGTATATTATGTAAATATTGTAAATGGTATAAGCATATAAAGTCCTGGTCTGTTTTAGTTTGACTGTTTCAATCTTTTGTTGAAGCAGGCATTGTGGAAAAAAAAATAAAAATAAAACTGGGACAGAAATCCTCCTGTCTTTTATTTCCTATAGCATGCATAGTGGGTGGAGATTTCTTAACAAGAAATATTTTATATTGTTGTTGTTCTTAATAGCAAAGTCTGCTATTAATTTCCTACCTTTTGCCCCTCAGGACTTCAGGCCATCCTTAACTTGCTGCAAGCAACTTGTACGATGTGTCTCACCTCCAAACACATGCAAACTTGTCATCTTTTTCAAAAGGTGCTCACTTCAACATCGTGTGCTTTCCCCCTCTGAGGGGAAGATGCACAGTGTGCAATGCAGCGTGGCTACAGCAGTTATCCAGAGCTGACAGAATGGAAAAGTGACGCTTCCATTGCCCTCTGCAATTACTTCCCTCCACGTAGGAAATCCTGCTGCTTGCCTTCTCTTCAGCACACCAGTGAGAAGCTGGAAGAGGCTGCTACAGGCATACAAGGCTCCCTCCCTTGGTTCTCCCCCTTGTTCACAAGCAGTAAGAGAGGTCACTCACTTGGGCTAGACCAAACAACCAAAAGTGCTGCAGTGAGTGTGGTCCTTGCTTAACGGCGAGCTCCATTCATAAGGGCACTTTCTGGAACAGCCAGGTGGGACTTGGTCTGCTGTTTGGGCCCCGGCTGTGTCACAAGGATGGCACTGCTGCCCCCGGCCACCACTGGTCTTGCTTCCACTCCAGGTATCTGCAAAGAAATGGCAGAGAGGGAGAGTGTGGCAAGGCCAAGACTAAAGCTCCTGCTTGGGGAAGACTCAGCGACTCCTCTTCCCACCCCACCACGTTCTGCCTCTGGAAACACATGTAATCTTTCAGTTTTCTTGGTGGCAGGGGTTGTGAAATCTTGTTTTGGAACCTGACTTCCCGTTCGTTATTCCTGGCGCTGCTGGCACAGGCCTGTCGGTATTCACCGTGTGTGGGGATGATGGGGGGGCAGCTGCCTCTCCCCTGCTTTCCTGTCCCTTCCCTCTTAAGTCTTGGATCCAAAGCCCTTTACCTCCTGCAGCCTCAAACAAGCTGGGCAACAAATCCATCTTGTTTCTAAATTAGAAAGGCAACTGTAACACTTGTTAAACGTTCACCATCAGCAAATCACACCTGTGCTGTGCACCTCCTCGGACTGGAGAAAACTACTGGAGAAGCCCAAAGGGAGCTTTCCTGTGGCCTGCAGCTGCTTCCTGAGGCTCTTCTGAGGAAAGGAAGGGGAAAGTTAGCGCTGAGTTTTCTCCTGCTAGACAGATAATGTTTTGGACTCTTACTTGCACAGAAACAGGAAAATTTTACCTTCAACAGACAAAACCCTTTCAAGGCATGCCCGCTAAACGCAGTTGGAAGGAGTTGCTTTTAGGGACACTAGCATAGCAGTGCACTGGCCTGACAGCCAATGTAATCCTTGTTTCTGCAGTTGCAGCAGAGGGAATTAGGGACCTTTTTTTTTTTTTAATCGTTGACTTCGGTTGTCCTACATAACATTTAAGCCACACTGCGCAGAGTCCCTTTGTCCACTTTGTACTAGAACCTGTGCATAGCTAAGATACAATTGTTCTTTTTCCTGCCAATAGCTTCTCAATTATAAAATGGATATTCAATGCCATGGTTTAGCAACTTCAAATTGCGTAAACCTAGATCTAAGTCCTGTATCTGACAGAATTCCGGCAATAGGCAGTAATGTAAGTGTCACACATAAACACAGACTTATAGAAGATTTAGGTTGGAAAAGACCCATGAGATCATCAACTGTTAACCTAATACTAGCAAGTCCACCCTACCAGTGAATACTACAGACAGTATCATTTGTTTATTGCACACGTATTACACCCTGACATCCCAATACTGATGCTTGTTCTGCGAATTACAGGGACACGTTTTGATCACTAAAGGAACAGGTGAGAAAGACAGGTATTATTAGGATTTCACCAGCACAGGCATATCCTTTGCAAGTAAGTATGAAAAGGCAACATATTCTCATAGGGAAGTCAAGGTGTGAAAGTTCAGCCCCATTTAATTGCCACCAGTTCACTTGCACTTGCCTAAGTTGAGGTGCAACAGCAGCAGTTTGCTTCCTGCTGCTCCCGTGCGAAGTGGCCGGGCCAGCTGTCCCCGGCTCAGCACAGGCTCTGATTTTGACTTAATCCCCCGCGCAGCTTTCAGAGCAAGGGGATAGCTTTTCACTTCTGCTGTGAGGACCCTGCTCTTTGATCAAAGGAAATTAAATACTTGTGCTATCTGACAGGAATTGCGCACGCCCCTAAAGAAAACATAGCAAGAGTTCTAATTGCCCAATAGTGGCTTATATTAACTACTTAACTCTGGCTAATCATTGGGGTTTGTATGTACTTGAAGGGTGTGCGTACCTCTGCGTACTTTGACCTTGTTTC